GCGTTTTATGTTACTTTTGAAAGCACAATCTATCAAAGCCAAAGGTAAGTTGTTTCTTCAAATTTATTTGTTAATTCCGGTAGCCTGCGTAGCTGGCGAGATCAGCAGGCGAGTGCTGTAGTGTTTTGGCGGGCGGAGCCACCCCGGGCACAACAGTCCCGCCAGCTACGCGGGCTATAATTCTGGCTGAAAGGAAATTGTACATCTTCTTTGATTTGAGAGTTATTTCATTAACAGTACTTGTTTTCTGTTGACAAAGTTAAGAACTCAAGGCTTAGAGCCAAGACTAAGATACTATTTAGTCTCAAGATAAAACACCCTATAAACTGATTTAGAGGCCCACTGGGTCTCTCATAAATCCAGTCTAAGTTAGATTTCGTTAGTTAATAACCTCCCCATGATTTTTTCAGAATACTATACTAACACAGCAAAAACCCAAGGGCGGAAGGGGTTCCAACACCATTTTCATTTATCACTGTTGTAGTATGGAATTGCAAAACGTGTGCATCTGATCTTTCTTTAGAGTTGTTTGCCATTTTTGAACTAGTGACGGCTCTGATAGTGAAAGCTATGCGAAACAAAAAGAGAAGAAGAAAAATATTTATGGACCCTTGCACTAAGCCAGCGTCTACTGCAAACGGTTTTCATTTTCAAGCCTCTCATAAAGCGAAAGAATTTTCTATAAACTCTAGTTTCTTTCGGTTGTTTGTTTGGCCTGTTTGCCATTTTGGGCCACGTTACAGCAATGAAACAAAAAGGCCAAAGCGAAACAACAAAACAACACGTGCCGTAACTCATCACGAAAAGCCCTACAAAAGGGTGTTTGCAAGTAATGATCTACTATGTGCTATAATTACCTTAATCAGCTATTTTTCTGTAACAGACAAGTTACATTTTAATTTTATCCCTTGTTTAAAAATATTAGATTTCCCACTGTACATCGTTTTGCGTAGTTTTCCATTTTATTTCTGGTTTCCTTTCTATGCGAATCAAAATAAGTCATCGAAACTGAAAAAATATGAAATAGGCTTCTCAATGTAAAAAAATAGCCCTATGATTACGTGGAAAGACTTTCAGTATCTCAGTATATTAAGGACAAGTTTCAATCGTGCTTCACTGGCAGGAAAGAAGGTGTTTTGGTAAGTACAGGCAATTATTCTACTAATGCAGTCGTTAGTTTTGTTTTACTAGAAGTGTTATTTTGTTTCGTTCCGTGACAAAATATCGTAACAAAATATCAACAAATTGGATGGGCTGAGTTCGTGCAGCCTTCGCAGCTGGCGCGATTGAGGTACCTTCTTAGTAGTAGAGCTGCCACGCGAAGCGAGTGGCGAGACCGCGATTAGTGACTGTGATTAGTTCAAACCAATAAGTGGTCAGCAGATACCTTTAGAAAACACGTCTCCTGAATGAATTGTACACTTGAGACCGCGATACAGTCATGTGACACTGGTCAGCGGATACCCTTTTTTGACAGCTGTCAATTGTCCATGACAGGAATGTCCACAATCAAGTTAAACACATATTGCATATATACCAAGGACACGTAGCTAATAATGCCCGGTTATTACGAGGAAATATTGCCCGCTGAGCAGCCAATCGAAATGCGTACTATTTTAGCCATATACTAATGCTCTTTAACTCATCCACAGAGCAATACCAAGATCCAGATCTTAGACGTGCCTGATAGTTTGTGATACACTGTTCCCTGCTAGCAGATTCTCCTTTTCGGTTAATTCTGCTAGTAGGGAAGACACACTGCTACACTGACGAGAAGTTTTTAAAAATCTCGGCTGCTATAGTAACCACATCTGGTAAGTCACCTTGAATCAGACATTACTCGAAATCTAATGGTGGCATAACATTTGTAAAGGCTCTTAGTTCAGTAAATGCATCAATATTATAGGGTGAAGTTTCTTCATTCTTCATTCTTCATCACCCCTCTCCCAAAAGTTTACCCCCTCTTTGTCGGAAGGTTGGGTAAGAATTTGCAGAGCGTCAAATGTGAATGAAAGACCAGATAGAAAAAAAAAAGAATCCATCTCGATTGTTGCAAGAAAATGCGAAACATTTGTCACTTCATCCATGCATGACGATGGAACAAGAAAACGACTCACAGAATTGACTCTACAGGTCAGCCCCGGGAGGTCAGCAAACAGGTTGCAACTAATTTACGGCTGTTAATCCTTGACCATTTGGCTTGTCTGCGCCTCAGACTTTAATAAACGTGAGAGAAATCATGAACACACACTAGACACGACTCAAGTTGCTACGATCGGTGAATACCCGACGCGGCGAGATTTCTTTAGTTTGTAGCCACTTAACAACCATTTTGTTAATAGCCTAATGCTCCCCCTCCCCCGTCTTGGAGGGGCTCATTTAAGTCGAATTGTCACCTATATGGGGCTAGCCTTGCATGAAATGCCCGGAGGTTATGCGCTCTTGAAATTGAGTGATGAGTCCTCGTGTGTTATTTCTTTGATTTTAATTTTTTGTGATAAACGTTTTAGTAAATTAACGCTTTTCATGAAAATGCATTTATCTATATCGAGCTTGCTCCTCGCAAATCCAACTTTTATTAAAGTGGTTCACTTTGGTTGGGGTCAACACCTATATATGTAAATATCAAATTATAGAGAAGAGGATAAAGTCAGAGAAGAAACCTTTGATGCGCAACTAAAATTAATGTTAAATGCCATTAAACACGGATAAGTAAGATTGTAGCTCCGAATTTCGCCCTAGGGATTATTTAAAATATCAATAAAGCAACATAAGAACTTTTTGAAGCCATTTGCACTTCGTGTTTTGGGTATTGAGTTTGAAACGCTTGGCTCACCTCTTGTTTTGAACTCTTTCACGTAGGGGCCAAACCACCCCCAAATGTTTCATAAGACCTAATTTTGGTTATTGCTCAAATTGATGTCCATGATGAAGAATTTCTCAAAATGGCACATAGTTACGTCACAAAGGATGACGTCTCAAAAACCAGTAAAGAAAATTTTAAATTATTATTTAAAAAGTGTCTTAGTTATCTGAAAGTGGGTATCAAGGGGAGTAAAACACTGAAAACCGTTCATCGCCACGATTTTTTGTTCCCGGGTTATGGCCAGTTAAAAACAGATCAGTGCCCCCCCCGGAACTATAGTTTTCCATACTTTCTTTGTAAAAGTAATGTCCTTTTTCTAGATGAGCTGGTATTTTGGTAAAAAAGACTTCTTACTGCCCCTAAAAATCGTATGGTTTTAATTTTTCCATTTTTGCCTCCAGGGCCGAGTTGTTCAAAGCTGGGTTAAGATAACCCAGGGTTAGTGCGAGATTTGAATTCAGATTTGAAAGCAATTTTTCGTAAAGTCAAAATTAAGAAAAACAGATGTTCAACTACTAACTTTCGAGATTTTATAACAGAGAAAATTATCCGAGAAAATGCTTTTGAACACAAGAAAAAGAAACCCGGGTTAAATTTAACCCGTGGTTAAGCGCTAATCGACCTTCGAACAACTGGGCCCAGGACAATAATATGGCAAAGTAATTATTGGTCACGTGACCTTTTATTACGTCAGAAATCAGCTTTTATGGTTCCAGGAATAACAGAAAATCTTTTTTTCATAATTTTCTTTTCCCTTCTACTTTCTACATTTAATACAACCAAGGTGCAATGACAATTGCAGTACTATTAAGACAAAAAGGCAGTCTAATTTAGGTTTATTACCGAAGGGGGATCCCATTTATTCACTCTAAGTTTTTCCAACTTCGAAATGTCATATCTCATCCAGTATTTGTCGTATGTACATACTGTTTTCGGTTTTCAACTTCTCTGGACGCACTCTATCTTAAACAGTAGAAAAATTAAAACAATTCCAAACTTTAATTTTAAGAAAAATATGACGTCATCAATTATGACGTCATATAGTGACAAGTTATACAAACAAGTCTTTCAAAATAATTGGCATGTTGTCTTATATTAACCTACCAAGTTTCGCAAGCAGACGATCAACATCAACAAAGTTATTAAAAATCTCACCAAAAACCCAAATTTAGTTGAAACATTTCGGGGGTGGTTTGGCCCCTACGTGTTACCTCGATTACACTAACAGAATTCAAAAGAAATTTTTACCTTGAAGTCGGGCATTGGTTTACGGTTTAGTTTTTACCTAAAAAGCGAATAGATTTTGATCATTTTGTTCTAACATCATGTGTGAATTTTTAAGACGGACCCACAAAAGTCAGCCATGTAACATGTTAGTCTTTTTTATCGTTTCATCTTTGGAAAAGAGAGGAACAATATCAGCCAAGTCCCCAGGCCTTCTCTGTTCCGTCAAACATGGACCCTACGTGACGTCACTGAAAAGAGACGGTGACTGGCACAGACCCTTTATCAGACTTTTTTAGGACAACGAGGCAAGAGAGAATGCCTGGGGACTAGGCTCGGGTGGAATATGAACTTCATGGCATGCAATATACAGCATAAAGCCGGTATAAATTCAAAAAGATGGGGCCGAGGCTTATGGTCAGAACTCTAAGATTAGAGCATTTATTGTTCTGTTCTCACTAGCAAACATGGCAACATATTCAAAACAATTAACAGAAGATTGTAATTCTTTTGAGTAAAAAATGACATAATCTTGAACTATTACCCTTACAAACAACGTACGATGTGCAGGAGTTTGATTATTCTCAAGAACGAGTGGTGGTGATTTTATTACTAAATGTCCTTCTCATTATGTTCTTTTTTTCTGCTTTATTTTCTTAGAGAGGTTGATATGGACAACAAAGACGAAGTTCTGCTGACAAGTCTTCATTTCGTTTCCCTATATCTTTGCAACACAAATCGGGTTCCAAACGCTATCGAGATGTGTAAAGAAGTTCTGTTCCTTCTCCAGCATAAGACACTGAGAAATACGGACGAAAAGTGTGTCAAACGTTTTGAGAATGTTAACAGTGACGCAATAGGATGCGGCATAAGACCGATCTTAACTTCTCGAACGGTTTTCGAGAGAAAAATGGAACTAATGACAACCTGTATACTTAGAGAATTATACAAAAGTGAACGTAAATACAATGAAGCAAAAGGGCTTGACTTAAAAGCACTAAAGATCGCAGAGGGAATTGGCGACAGGGAAATAGAAGCCGAATGCTATGCAAGCCTAGGAAGTATCTTTGTATTACACGGTGAATATGTCAAGGCTAAAGAACATTTCGAAAAAGCACTTGCAATCGCAGAGAAAATTGGCGACAGGGAAACAGAAGCCAGATGCTATGTAAGCCTAGGAAGTATCTTTGTGTTACACGGTGAATATGTCAAGGCTAAAGAACATTTCGAAAAAGCACTTGCAATCGCAGAGAAAATTGGCGACAGGGAAACAGAAGCCAGATGCTATGTAAGCCTAGGAAGTATCTTTGAGTCTCTCGGTGAATATGTCAAGGCTAAAGAACATTCGGAAAAAGCTCTTGCAATCGCAGAGAAAATTGGCGACAGGGAAACAGAAGCCAAATGCTATGTAATTCTAGGAGGAATCTTTGAGCATCTCGGTGAACGTGTCAAGGCTAAAGAACATTGGGAAAAAGTACTTGCCATCGCGGAGAAAATTGGCGACAGGGAAACAGAAGCCAAATGCTATGTAATTCTAGGAGGAATCTTTGAGCATCTCGGTGAACATGTCAAGGCTAAAGAACATTCGGAAGAAGCACTTGCAATCGCACAGAAAATTGGCGACAGGGAAACAGAAGCCAAATGCTATGTAATTCTAGGAGGAATCTTTGGGCATCTCGGTGATTATGTCAAGGCTAAAGAACATTCGGAAAAAGCACTTGCAATCGCACAGAAAATTGGCGACAGGGAAACAGAAGCCAAATGCTATGTATTTTTAGGAGGAATCTTTGGGCATCTCGGTGAATATGTCAAGGCTAAAGAACATTCGGAAAAAGCACTTGCAATCGCAGAGAAAATTGGCGACAGGGAAATAGAAGCCGAATGCTATGCAAGCCTAGGAAGTATCTTTGTGTCTCTCGGTGAATATGTCAAGGCTAAAGAACATTCCGAAAAATCACTTGTAATCGCAGAGAAAATTGGCGACAGGAAAATAGAAGCCAAATGCTATGCAAGCCTAGGACATATCTTTGTGTCTCTCGGTGAATATGTCAAGGCTAAAGAACATTCCGAAAAATCACTTGTAATCGCAGAGAAAATTGGCGACAGGGAAATAGAAGCCGAATGCTATGCAAGCGTAGGACAAAGCTTTGCGTCTCTCGGTGAATATGTCAAGGCTAAAGAATTGCTCGAAAAATCCATTGTATTGTTTAAAAAGTGTGGGATCATCGAATTCGAGTCACTTCTTCACTTGGTTGCTTCAATGTCAATGTTTCTTGAAGGTAACATATCTGAAGCTAAATCAAACGCCGTTGATAGTTTTAATAGCTTAGAACTTATGCGACGCCTCCAAGTTCATGATAAATTCAAGATATCGTATTTTGACCGAATGGCTAGTGCCTACCGAGTTTTCAGTCACTTTCTTTGTATTGCTGATTTTCCTTATGAAGCTTTTTACACAGAAGAATTTGGGCGAGCCAGGGCCCTTACAGACTTAATGACAGCTCTGTACTCTGTAGAAAACGAAATACCAGTCAGTCCACGAACATGGGATGATGTTCAAAGTATTGTCAAGAAAGAATGCGACTGTTCTTGTCTTTACATATCATACTACAAACAATTGATACATTTGTGGGTTGTTAAAGCAGGCAACCCTTTAATTCACCGGCAAATGAAAGTAAATGATGTTTTCGGATCAGTAAGGAGAGTGGCTGACTTGCTTTGTCTAGCAATTTACAGAGAGGTACTTTGCTTAGCTCCTGAACAATGCGAGGATCGATCCTGGCTTCCCTCAAACGTTTACTGGGAGCAGGGGTGTGAGCGCCCAATTTGGGAAGATGACGAGAAAATTGTAGAAGATGAAGACGAGAACCAGCAACCCGAGCTTACTCTTGCTGATCTCTACAAAATGATTATTGCTCCTGTAACAGACTCTCTTAATGAGCCTGAAATCATCATTGTTCCTGATCGCCTCTTTTACAAAGTTCCATTTGCAGCGCTAGAAGAAGAAAGTGGAAAGTGTTTATCAGAGTCTTTCAGGATCCGCATCGTTCCCTCTTTGACGACTCTAAAGCTTATTCAGGACTGTCCGGAAGACTACCACAGTCAGACTGGTGTGCTGATAGTGGGGGACCCTCATGTTGGTGAAGTGTCGTACAATGGAAAACTTCGGCAGGTATCGAGGCTGCCTTTTGCAAATAGAGAAGCAGAGATGATTGGAAAGCTGTTCGGTACTCAACCTCTGGTAGGAAAACAAGCCACAAAGCAGGCGGTTCTTCAAAACATTCATTCTGTGTCTCTGATACATTTTGCTTGTCACGGAAATGCTGAAAGAGGTGAAATTCTTCTTGCCCCTCCACCCCTCACTGATAGGAAACCTCAAGAAGAAGACTACTTATTGACTATGCAGAACATTTCGAAAGTTCAACTGCGAGCCAAACTGGTGGTCCTTAGCTGCTGTCACAGTGCAAAAGGACAGATCAGTGGCGAGGGAGTTGTTGGAATTGCTCGCGCGTTTTTAGGATCCGGTGCGCGCTCAGTGTTGGCGGCACTGTGGGCCATAGAAGACGAACCAACAGAGCAGTTCATGAGTCGTTTCTATGAGAGTCTTGTTCGTGGGAAAAGCGCCAGTGAATCCCTTCAACAGACCATGAAGTGGATGAGAGAAAACGGTTTATCCAAGGTGACGCAGTGGGCGCCATTTATGCTTTTTGGAGACAACGTGACGTTGGATATTCACAAGTTAAAGTCATCGAAAGGACAGTGAAAGGACTTTAGAAGTTGATGAACAAAACGATGGTCCTTTCCCCCACCACCCTCCTGTTTGTCCTTACAAATACAGGATTAAATTCGCGTTTTTGTTAATTAGATAATTAAATGATAGGGCCGATTTGTTCCGTACTACAGTAAAGATGTGTATATAGATTTAAACTGCGTCTCTGATACCTGAATACAATAGGATAAGCATTCAAGATTGACAAGATTGACATTCCGTTTTTGTTTTCGAAGTAACTCACATAGAGTTGTCAGTTATAATAAGTTTTTAACTCAGGTTCCTGTGAGATTGTTACAGTGATTTTTACTAACTTTTAAACTGTCTCCTGATGTCGGAGTTAGGCTAATTCTTTACAGTTTCTTCTTGTTAGGAGGAAATATTTATTCTAAATCTAAATCTAAATCTAAATATCGTTATGTCGGCAAAATCGTTTGGGACATCACGCCAACTCTAAGATAATAATAAATAAAACTATACTAAAATATACAAAACTATTAAAAACTATTAAAAACTACTGATAAAAATAAAACTAAATTAGTTTGCTTTTAAAAATACAGAGGGATTGATACTCGAGGAATATTCACTTGTAAATAACAGGACACTTGTGTCTTGCAATACACATGTTTGTGTTTCAGATGAGATGTAGTTCAAGCATTTGCACGACTTGTACGAGTCGTAACCGACTTGAAAACGGCTCCTTCTCTGCCAACTCTTAATTCTAATGGTCGCTAATGAGATGAGGTTTAACGTTTAGTAATAATACCTTATATTATTTTACTATATCCTATTCACTATTTGTACGAATCGCACAAATGCACTGAAGGCTTTACTCACGATCGCGATTTGTACCACTTGTTGTAAACAAGATAGGACTGGGCCGAGATAGCTCGAGAACACGTGACAAATAGGCGTGTAATCGTAATGTGTAATCGGATCATTCAGTTTTCGGTTTTTCNTTGCGGGAGCGCTTTGGTCAGGCTGTGGCCTACATCCGCCCTCTCCAGACAGATTTAGATGAGAGTCCATTGAAACAAGAGGTAATTAACACTCGTGCAGTCCAGGCAAATGCTTAATATTTAGCCATTACTCTTAGTAGCACCACAGAAAAATGTGTTCTTGTTTCACCTTTTACTAAGGGCCCAGTGTAATTAACTTTTTTTTTTTCTTGTTTGACCATAAAATGTACAGCAAATGAAAATAAAATGAAACATCCTTTTGTAGGTTGGACTTACCCCAAAGGTAGATTGTGTGAATTGTGGACTCTCTATTCCCATGGCAATGGTTAGAGACCACCAACAGGAATGCAGAGGTGGATCCTCAAGGTAAACTAAACTCATATTGCATCCTGGACATATTAATGTTAGAGTCAGATAATGACCAGAATGTGTGGATACACCTATATCTTGAACATATAATGTTATGCATTTCTATTGTATGCTGTGGTGTTTAAACAGTGTTATTTTTCATTAACAGTTTCCTTTGAGTTATGTTGGTAAATATTTTTTCCCAAGTAGTTTAACATTTGACAGTTGGTGGTTAGCACATTACATGGTTTTTGCAATCAAGAGTGAAAATAACAGTTACACAATGTTGTTGTAAGTTACATGTAACAAAACGAAATGTACAGAGTTCAATAGTCAAAAGAGGTTTTGTTTTTCAGAGGTGTAGTTGACAGAGATGATGGACCACAAGTAAGTGCTTTTGCCAACGTTTTTGGGGTAATCTCTGAGACCTTTACAATGAACCATGCATTTTGAATGATTTATTAATGTATTATGTTAATGCAGTTTATAGCCAAGGGGATATCAAAATGCAATTGTAATTATTATAATGTGCTAAATTTCTAATAAATCTATTGTACTTGTAGGTTGAAGATTTGCAGGAATGTGAAGCCAAAGTGCAACAACAAGATGCACAAGGGTAAATGCTGTTAAGAAAACATAATTCGTAAATTATGTTTTTAAAATGATTTTGCTGTAAGGTTCCATTTCAGAATGGCTCTATAAAATTGCAGAGCCAGAAAACCACATTCGTGTTATTGAATCTAAATTCGTGTCATTGGATCGTAGACCATTCAATCGAACTATATACATCATGCCACCGGATCGAACTTCATGTCATTGGATCAGAAACGTCATTCCATCGGGCCAGCGGCTTATTGAAAAAAGTTTGTCTCCCAGAGTGCTTATCAGATTATGTTCCACGAGTTTGTTCTTCATCGGCGGTGTTTTACTGTGTGAAAAGTGTGGCTTGAGATGGACAACTTAATGAAAAGAACGGAGACTTTACTCCGTGAGGTGGTTGACCACCTGGAAAAAAATAGAAACTCGTTTGGCGCAGAAGGTGGTCAAGAAGGTGAAGCGAGTCAGGAAGGAAATTCCGGGGGAAATTCGAGCAACAGCAGCTTGACAGAAGCTTCTGTGGAATTCAGGTAAGCTAAGCGCGTGAAACAGTATCGTAATTTTCTGCGGTTTTCGTTAGGTCTGTGTTTTTCTTATACGTGAAAGGTTCGGTAAAAATAAGTAACTTAGTTAATTTAACAGTTTTTTCGAGAGAGTACTATATATGCAAGTATTTACCACGTACAAACACGTGCTATCAGTGACGTCAGTTTCGGAGAAATTTGCGCACAGCCCTGATTCATTCTTTTGTCTTTCACAGCTAGTTAAGTAGCGCATTCCCAGGTGTATTGTTATGGTCACTGATTTCCTACCAACTCCTAGACCCTACCCTGTCTTTTTTTGTTTTTCCTGTAGCAAGCCTCAAACTCCTTACCTAAACATTGAATTTACTGGGAAGATTGCATTTTATAACTACTGTGTGATTTAAGATTTTGCCAAACAGAATGTTGGTAATTTCCCATGAATGCAAGGGTCTTTGGTTTCCGAAATTAACTCTAAGCACCTGGGCATTTATTTGAGAAGATGTTTTAGTAAGTGAGTTGCCTTTTTGAACAATCAACTTGATTTTGCCTTATTTAAATTGGTTGAATTTATTGCTCCTTTGCAGGAGAAGATTTCCAGGGATGTGCTCTTCCCGCACAACTACTCAATTTACTCTGCCTCCCAAGAGGCAAAGGATGACAGGATATGTTCCAGCCAAAGCATCTTTTACCCCCAAGGAGACCTGGACGCACGACTTCTGTGTCTTGGCCAGACAAGATGAAAATGTTACTCCCTCTAGGGCCAGGCTTAATAAACTTTTAGATGCTGGTCTTGGAAAGGCACGACTTGCAGTTCAAAAGAATGCAAGCCACAAAGAACTAAGTACAGCTCTGGAAAATCATTTTCCAAAGCTAAATGAAGCTGGGGGGTTCGAATTTCTCCGTGCTGATGGAGGAGGAGGTGGACAGAGACAATTGTCTCTAGTCTATCCTAGTGCCTTCGGGTATACAGTGCCACATTTGCGGGAGCGCTTTGGTCAGGCTGTGGCCTACATCCGCCCTCTCCAGACAGATTTAGATGAGAGTCCATTGAAACAAGAGGTAATTAACACTCGTGCAGTCCAGGCAAATGCTTAATATTTAGCCATTACTCTTAGTAGCACCACAGAAAAATGTGTTCTTGTTTCACCTTTTACTAAGGGCCCAGTGTAATTAACTTTTTTTTTTTCTTGTTTGACCATAAAATGTACAGCAAATGAAAATAAAATGAAACATCCTTTTGTAGGTTGGACTTACCCCAAAGGTAGATTGTGTGAATTGTGGACTCTCTATTCCCATGGCAATGGTTAGAGACCACCAACAGGAATGCAGAGGTGGATCCTCAAGGTAAACTAAACTCATATTGCATCCTGGACATATTAATGTTAGAGTCAGATAATGACCAGAATGTGTGGATACACCTATATCTTGAACATATAATGTTATGCATTTCTATTGTATGCTGTGGTGTTTAAACAGTGTTATTTTTCATTAACAGTTTCCTTTGAGTTATGTTGGTAAATATTTTTTCCCAAGTAGTTTAACATTTGACAGTTGGTGGTTAGCACATTACATGGTTTTTGCAATCAAGAGTGAAAATAACAGTTACACAATGTTGTTGTAAGTTACATGTAACAAAACGAAATGTACAGAGTTCAATAGTCAAAAGAGGTTTTGTTTTTCAGAGGTGTAGTTGACAGAGATGATGGACCACAAGTAAGTGCTTTTGCCAACGTTTTTGGGGTAATCTCTGAGACCTTTACAATGAACCATGCATTTTGAATGATTTATTAATGTATTATGTTAATGCAGTTTATAGCCAAGGGGATATCAAAATGCAATTGTAATTATTATAATGTGCTAAATTTCTAATAAATCTATTGTACTTGTAGGTTGAAGATTTGCAGGAATGTGAAGCCAAAGTGCAACAACAAGATGCACAAGGGTAAATGCTGTTAAGAAAACATAATTCGTAAATTATGTTTTTAAAATGATTTTGCTGTAAGGTTCCATTTCAGAATGGCTCTATAAAATTGCAGGAAAAAAACATCCTCTTCATTAATTGCAAACAAAAAATATTCATGTAAGTAAATTTGTCAAACTGCAAACCACTTGGTCCAGTGAATGTGTAGTGTCAATCGTCAAAACGAAAATCTCCAATGCAAGTGCATCGCTGCAAACCCAAATTCACCTTCATTTGATTTTCAAACAGCACTTTGATTCTAATAATTTATAGGATGTTTAATTTTTTATTTACAATGCCTACCAGGAGAAATGTGTATAATATAAACATATAGCTGTCCTGCTTTGATAGGCAGCACTGACAATTTTTATTAGACACAAAATAAGAACTGCATGCAGTTGTGCATAATAGCACTTGAGTACTCAAGATATTTGTTTGACTACACTTTACATGGCATGTAACTTGTATTTTCAGCAAAGTCACTTCAACGGGTACATGTACCACCTCAAGAAAGGTAAGTCTGATTGTCATTGGAGATAAACCAACAACTATACCCCAAAATAGTCATAACTCATTGTAACCATCATCATTATCATCGTAACAATAATGAACAATAAATTTCAAAAACACATCCTGTTGATAGTCTGGGTACCCTTATTCAATCACTCATTAGGTTTTCACTAAGTACTTTCTCTGGGTATGTCTTTTTCTGAAAAGGCTTGCCAATAACAAATATTAATATGTCGCCATGGAGCAAGCACATCATCTATTCCCTTCATGGATTTGGACTAATCTCTGACTTTATGTAGGAGCCCTGGATGGTATTGAATGAAGTGTTCCCAGTACATGACTTAGAGCAGTGCAAACAAGCCTGGGAGTCCTCTGGAGGGGATATGAGCAGGGCAGTGGCAAAGTTGGGTGGCTGGATTGATGAAGGTATTAATTGCAAATTCGGGGTTCTAAAGAAAGTTTAATGCACATCTAGACGATTATTAATTGTTTAAGAGTCTTTCATTTAACTACTTGTAACCCATCTAAGTAGACTTAGTCACAGATGGTGTAAGTGTTGACTTTGTCAACTATACCTTGATAGTTTTAACCTTGAAACTCCAAACTTTGTGCTTTTTCATATGACTTGACTTAAGAGGCTGTAGCTAGTTAATTACCATTGGGAATGAAACTCAGTATTGTGGTTGACTTGTAACACACTATAGGTTTTTTTACCTACTAGATAGGGACCAGACAGTGACTCGGTCAGCTAGAAATAGTGGTTTTTGCCAAACTCTTTAGGGGAAAATGAAATTAGGGGAAAGCTTTAAGCTGCCATTACACGTTGAAAGTAGTGTTACACAGTGAAACTCTTGTTTTTTCACCACTACAATTGTTGCGAGCCATTGCAGAAGTAGAAAGCGGTTCTACTTTTCATGAAACTTGTCTCGCAACGGAAGTTCGAAAAAAGTTTCATGAAACCAACTATGTTACATGGTGCAACGCCTGCTGAAGCTTTATTCGCAGCGCTGTTGCACACAAGTTTCAGCTAACAGTTTCACCGTGTAACAGCAGCTTTAGGAGTATTTCTCATATTTTCTCCTCTTTTCCCTTCAGATAGCCTAGAAGGTGACAAAGAGCTTCCAATCATTACAGAGATTTTGGAGGAGAAGCAAAATGGTTATTATCAAATGTTTACTTTGATTTTTTTCCCAATCTCTGACTCTAGAAATACATGTAGCAATGCCCTTTTCCAGTAGGGTCAAAAGAGATTCTGAGGGGAGGGATAACCAGGCATTTTTAGTAGAAAATGTTTTTTTGGGGGGGTGGTTGCTGGGATTGGTACCAAAAGAAACTCCATGGGTAGATCTCTTCTGCAACAACTCAATGGTTAAAAAACCGCGAGTCGAACCAAGAGCTGCCCTTAGCAGAATTTATGAGAAACTGTGAGCAGGGCAGGCAATAGTTAAAACATCATATTTTTTATTGCTTGTTGAACAGGATGTGAACAGGAAACCATATGCAGCAAAGATATGAGTGCAGCTGAGATCTTCAATTCTTATCGTAATGAAGTGGTTGCCCACCAATGCGGCACTCAGTTTATTTCAGTAAACAGGATGCAAATATCACTACTTATGCAACTGATGCGCATTTATAAAGATCCAAGACTAGATCTGACTAAACCACTTAATGTGAACTTTGTTGGTGAACATGGGGCTGATGTTGGTGGACCAACAAAAGAGTATTTCCACGAGGCAATATCAATCTTGAGTAAGGTGGACACTCTTTACAATATTCAGCTGTTTGGTGGGCAAGGAGGCCATTTACTTCCCTTGTATGGGGTTGATGCCATCTCTTCAGGTTGCTTCGAAATGGCTGGCAAGCTTATTGCCCATAGTGTACTTCATGGAGGGCCTGGGATGGCAGGATTGAGCCCAGTTGTGATTAAATACTTAGTCACAGGATCAATCGACGAGGCTAAGGAGCTTGTCTCAATAGATGACCTGTATGACCCAGAGTTGCAAGAAATTCTACAATCAGAGGTATGAAATCAGTTGTGTATAGAGTATTATTGCAAGTAGCATGCAGTTTAATAGGTACATGTAGTATGCTGTATATTTTGGTATTTAAATGTTTGTTTTCTAATCATTACTTAACTCTTTATTCTTTTACATGCTCATGAAAATTTCCTTTTGATTCCTGGGGAAAGCTAGTCGGTGTACAAAAGCAAAAACTTGCTAAATAAAAGAGTTGGATCTTTTCTGGTATGACACACATCTCACACTTTTGCCTTATGTTTCCACTTATAACACAGTTCAAAGATGAAACAAAAATAGAGGACATTGACAGCAATCTCAAAGGAAAACTGGAGGATATGTTAGTGAAACATGGCTTGACAGATGTTGTGCCTCTCACAGATGTAAACAAAGACAAAGCCATCAAGGATCTACTGATAGCTGAAGTATTAATAACAAGGACTCTCGCTTTGGATTCATTTTTTAAAGGGCTGAATGTGCATGGCTTAGGGGATTTGCTCCGCAAACGCCCAGGAGTGGTAAGTTATGTGTTACCCACTAAGGAGGAAGCAGCAGTAGATGTGGAATTATTCAAGGGGAAATTGGTATTCTGTGATGAAGACCTAAATGATGATGAAGCGCAAACGATGACATGGCTCCTACAGTTTGTCGAAGAGGCTTCTCAAATGAAAGGTGAATGTGGAATTTTGCTGCCATTGAAATTATATATTACACTTAAATTTAGGTAGAAGAAATGCTTACCAATGCAACACAGTTTAAAGCCAGAGAAAAGTTAGTTTGTCCAATTGTCTGTACATTAAAAATAAAAAAATAAAAAATGATTAAAAATATACTGACAATCAAAAAAGGGCATTCCAAACTGCAATCCACTTTTCTTTCCAGTTGGAAACATACCACTTGGTAGCCAAGTTTGATTGTATGGTTCCCGATCTTTATTGATCTGAATAAAACTGGTTGCCTTGCCTTGCCTGTTTCTACCTTACAATATCCCTTACTTCACAGAATGATTTTCACTTCACACGTACTCTTTTTCGTTTTGTTTTTGTCCCGTTTAGAAGAGTCAGAGGACAAGGGACATGGCCACAATCTATTAAGTTCGTTGTTGTTGTTTATAACTGGTACAACAATAATGGACTCGGATCTAAAGGTGGATGTTGTTTTCCAGAGTAATCCAACAAAACCACTCCTGGAGGCAGATAGCTGCTTCAGCAGGCTAACAGTGCCCACATGTCACAGCAGCTATGAAGAGTTTAAAAAGGCCTGCACTCTTTCAATTAAAAATGGAGCCCTTGGATATGGCCGATTTTAGATTGTATCGATGATTCCCATGCTGTCATAACATTTAACCTAGTATTTAGTATTTGACAATACTATTTTACATCAAATTCATAGGACTTGAAGTTAAGTTGCGTTTGTCATAAACTGTTCAAAAGTTGGCGTTGTTTTGATAAGAGGTACCATGTTACACCAGTGATTAGGGAATGTGTTATGCTGGTTTTGTCTTTACAGTTGTTGTTTTGGAAGCATTGTATCAGTGTAAGCATTGTATCAGTGTAAATTCATTTTATATATTTTTAATAAGCCAATGTGAAAAGAGAAGTTCATTGCTGTTGGTTCAAGTGCTACATTGCCATAAAGCTGCTGTTTGTCCATGACTATACTACTTTACAATTACATTATAAGCTTGATATTTCTATGAGGTGACAGTTCATTTCAGTTCTCAAAAACAGGATGAAATAGTATGAAGACAAAGTCATATCCCTTTGAACACAACCGTGATTCACTGAATTTCTTTATCAGTATAAAAAGTTCTTTTGCCTGCTGCGCTAAAAACTAGGGAGAACACTGTCTCTATGAATTTTATTGAGATAGGGCCATATAACAAATTGACACTAGTTTGTACAGGTCTCTCCTGAAATCAACCATGAAAAATGTCATCACATTGTCAAAGTTAGTGTGGATCCTTATGGCACGGATGCAATAGCTGATCCACACACAACTTTGATTATGTGATGACTTATTTTATGGTCAATTTCAGTAGACCTTTACAAACTGGTGTCCATTTCTTTTTTACCATAAAAACAGCCAGAATGATGCGTGAGCATTACGCAATGACATATTTTGTGTTTCCATACATTATTTGACCGATAATGTTAGCCAATGAGCACACAAGAATTTCTGAAGTTATGGTATTAACAATAAAATACTCATCATTGTGAGAAGATTCTTTCTCTCACAAATTGCCGAGCATTTAAATACACATTAATCCCATAGCTATCATCATCCTGCAGTGGGCTTACCACTGTGCTTAAATCTTGGAAATCAATCTCTGATAGCGGAGTTGGAACATCTGGGATGATCACAGCCCCTTCATCTTGAAAACAATCTGGTAGGGGGCCATCACAGTCTATGCCATAGTCATCCCAGTTCTGCAGGGGCAATTGGGCACATGAAGAGTTTGGTACAGACCTTCCCTCTTCAATTGACCCCATAATCCAAAGCTGATTAGGTGTTTTGTTTCCCACTGTTCTGATGGGGTGGTCATTCCAGGAACTAGCAAAGGTATGAAGGTGTTGATTTATTCTTGGTAAAAATACATAATGTAAAGAGAACAAGTCAACATTATCTGACACATCCAGATCCCCAGACTCCTCAAGAAAATAAAATACACAGTAGTAAATGTAGATACAGCTAGCAAACAAGTCTCTCCATAACCGCTCTATGCGTTGATTATGTACACTTGGCCCTGTCATTATGCTGCCCCTCCCTGGTCCTCTTGCTGGATGGGTTAACAGGTACCATGCAACGTCAACATTCTCTACTCCATGATCGGATCTTACTCGTGATGGCAGACCATATTGTGAAACTGCCTCCAGGAACAAGTTAAGAACTGTGTCAGCTTTGTTGTTTCCACTGCATGCAAGGTACATGATCCTCCTTGAGAAACCGTCAATACACCCATGTACGACAAATTTCCACCTAAAAAGGAAAGACAAATTCAAAATGATAAACATGAAAAAGCGGGAAAATGTTGGCATGCGTACAAACTAACAAGAAAATAAAATATATCTTGTATAGGACATCAAATTAGCCACGACAGACTTTACCTTATCAGCTTATGGTGGCCATCTATGTGCCAGAGGGCTAAAGGCCCCCTCACATTGTATGACCTTCTGTGTGTGACACGGATTTGAAGAGCCCTGACAGTTGTTCCTGCAATATTAAACGCCATGATGAATTTGGTGTCAAATGTTTTGTCTTCCCAATATTTAGACCATATGATGTTGTCAAGAGAATTTGCTGTGTGCCTTGCACATGTTATGTATGTGTGTGCATGTGAATGTAAAAACTAAAAGAAAGTCATTAGAAATTGTACAGTTATATATGGTTTAAATTAAACAAAAAAGGAATTAAGACATCTTATCAAAAAGGGCCATCAATCAGAAATGGAAGAGCCCAATACATGTATCTACTTGGGAGGGGGTGGGGGGGGGGGTACTGCATTTTTGAAAGTGGCCTACAAGAGACTAAATGAAAGAGCCTCGATCCACTTGCATGTAGTGCACAACATAAGATTTACCTTCAGGGTCAACTCTCCTCATTGCCTCCCTGATCCTTTCCTCTTGAACTTTATGACCCTTGCACAGAAGATGGCCCCGCATTGATTTGTAGCCACAGTTTGGGAAATTGTGGAGTATATCCAGAATGATAACGTCTAACTCCGCTTCACTTATATCTGAGTAGCTCGCGCGAACCGGTAATTCAAATTCTTGTAGTCTTCTGTAAATTGTTATATTGCTGACACTGAGCATCCTCGCTATGTCACTGCCCTTAAAACCTTTCTCTAGGAAATACTCAAGCTGATTTCGACTGATATATATCTTTGGCCTCCCTTTATTGCCAGTTACTATCATCGGTCTGTTGTTGTGGATGTGTGAAGATTCCTCACTGCGCCTTATCATAAGTGAAATGAGATCATGGGCTTGACGTAACTTTGGAAGGAGAGCTGCTTCAAACGTTCCCCCAAGCCTCAAAACCAGCGAGCATAACCACTCCACCTTATACAAGCCATAATCAAGATCTGCATTGCAAGCCAGTTTATTCATAACATCAAGAAGTACCGTTTTTATGTTGCTTTCTATAAGTTCTTGTGCTGTTCGATGTTGACCCTGCAGGTGAGCCGCCATATTTGCTGTTACGTATCTGGAAAAGCACTCTGGGAAACAAACTCTTTTCAATAAGCCGCTGGCCCGATGGAATGACGTTTCTGATCCAATGACATGAAGTTCGATCCGGTGGCATGATGTATATAGTTCGATTGAATGGTCGACGATCCAATGACACGAATTTAGATTCAATAACACGAATTGGTTTTCAGGCTGAATGATGCGTTGCAATGACATGAAGCCCCATCCAATGACATAAAATATATGATACGATAGAATGACGTATGATCCAATAAAATGAAGTCCGATCCAATGACATGAAGTATATTGTCGGATAGAATGATGTATGATTCAATGGCACGGCGTTAATGGTCCAATGGCATGAAACTCGATTCAATTACATTTTTGTCCCAATTCCCCCTCCATACGAAACTCTCAACCAAGAAATCGCGGAATTAGTGGGAGCGGATGCAATTGAAAAAGAAATATTAGACCGCTGTGAATTCGAAAGTTCCCTTCAAGAAACAATTTCGCTTATTTCTTCACGGTTATCGTTTACCAAGGAATCCAAAAATTCAGCCGAGACAACGCCGCCGTCAAATCAACAAGAAGCTCCGATTGGCGCCAAAACGAGTAGCAAGGCTAAACTTCCAAAACTCACTTTGCCAAAGTTCGCTGGCGATCCCACAGAATGGACAACATTTTGGGACAGTTTCTCATCTGCTATCCATTTAAGCGAGGAACTCAGCGAAATCGACAAATTTCAGTATTTGAAATCCTTGTTAGTAGGAACTGCGGCCGAAACTATTTCGGGTTTGCCCTTGAGCGGGTCGAATTACAACCATGCGGTCGATCTTCTCATGAAACGGTTTGGAAGTAAACAAGTAATTATTTCAAAACACATTGAAATGTTGATGCAGCTGCCAAAACTGAATAATTCCAGTGATTTGAAACAACTACGGCAACTTTTGGACAAAACTGAAGCGGCCATCCGAAGTTTACAAGGAATCGGTGTATCATCTGAGACATACGGAACATTTCTCACGCCTGTCATAATGGCCAAAATACCGCAAGAGTTACGTCTTATTTTAAGTCGTGGTATGTCCGACGAATGGGACTTGGACACTGTGATGAAATCCTTTGCGGAAGAATTACAAATACGGGAAAGGTGTGCGCTGGGACCGGTTTCAGAGCAAACGCCAAAGTTGGGAGTGAAGGAAAAACGAGACTTCGGATTTGGATTTCGTCACGGTCAAATCAGGGGACCTCCCACTTCATCAACGTTGTTTTCAAACCAAGAAGGACCACTGCCGAACAAAGAAATGTGGTGTACTTTTTGCAACGGCCCTCATCCATCAAACAGGTGTGCTGTTGTCACTGATCCTGAGACAAAGAAGAACATTCTCCGACAGAAAGGACGATGTTTTGGTTGTTTAAGGAGTGGTCACATCAGTAAGGATTGTTCAGCTAGATGTTATCGTTGTGGCGGGAAACATCATTTATCTTTGTGCAGCATGCAGAAACAACCGATGCAGTTTAGACAAACCCGCGGCGCCACACAG